CTGGGAGTACTGAACAGCTTTTTCGCCCTGGTTTGGGACTCTTTATCAGTACGCACCCACCGGGGTTCGAACCCACGACTTTCCGGTTACAAGGCGACCTCGTAGACCATTAAGCCACGGAGACATGACGGATTAAATGGCCAGCCCATGAATTCTAACTTCTACCACTAGCCACTGTCTTCGGTGGCGAGTACATGTCCTCACACCCGATCACTGATTTCAACTCACAATGAAATTTTGTAAACAATCAATCAAATCCCTACAAACTAACACCTAAATATCAAGCGCAAAACCTAATTTAAGAGCTGTCCTGATTTTTGATTCCTTTACGTCTGATTATTATTAAAACACAAACTTTATGCATTGTGAACATCAAGATATATGTACCACATAAAGTCTGACAGTTTGTGCAGGCGGTGAGATACTTCTCGGACGCCTAGACCGAAACAGGCGGTAATCTTATAGAGTCACAGTTTCCGTGAACGTTTGGTTTGAATTCTGATAAGCGAATCAGTACAGCAACTTCAGGAGCTACGTTCACATGTTTTCCAGCAACGAAACAGGTTCATACGCCATTCAGTTCTTTCGGATTCTGAAGTCGATTTAGAATTTGTGTTTACTAGCTTTCCATAGGTAGACATCTCTACATGTCCAGAAGTCTGGTTGTAAGCACCAGACGTTCTAATTCGCCCTTTCACTTTTGTGAGAGATGCCAGTGCGGCGTAAAGGTGGTGGTGAATAGGACTTATCTGTCAGAGGCTTTGAACATATGTGGTCACATGAGAGCATTTCAAGGTTGAGACTGCAGTCTACTCACTCTTGGTCATGCCAGGTCTTTTATTAGGGGTTTTATTCTTTCTGGTACTATGCATAAATTCACTCTATTGCTCGATCTTTTGTTGTGCTTGTAATCAATCCTTATTTCTGACATAAAATATGAACTCTGTTCCCCTTCTTGTATAATTATATTATTAATATCAGTTAGAGAACCATTGAGAACCAACCATAGAGTACTGGACAGCTGTTTCATCCTAGTTTGACAATCTCAACGGCCCACGAATTCTAATTTCTGAATCACGAATTGTTAGAAGTTAGAATTCATGGGCTGGCCATTGAATGGGGTCCCAGTGGCTGGATGGTATACGAGCTTGCCTTGTAACCAGAAGGTCGTGGGTTCGAACCCCCCTGTGGTGGGTGCATACTGCCGATGATTCCCAAACTAAGATGAAACAGCTGTCCATTACTCCATGGTTGGTTCTCAATGGTTCCCTAAGTGATATCAATCCGTGGTCCAACTCGTAAAAAACAAATTTCATCCTTACAAACGCCAACTCTTGAAAAATACTATTAATAGTTAGCCTTTTAACACTGAATAATTTGTCTTTTACATTATTTTGGAACTATGTTGTTGATACTTTCTTTCTTCGTTCAAATATTATTACGCTAAATTTGTAGTTTTCATTTTTTTTGTAAAATTATTGGATTTATCCTAGTCAACATCCTACCATCTACCAGTCGATGAGGGGTCATAAATTCCAGTTCTTTGTTTTTCTTTTCTTGTACAGTTCTCCTATTTCTTATGCAAATGTTGCTTCTCATAGCAAGCCACTTAGCTCTCATATACACTTGCGTATACTTGTGTTGTTATCTGTAACGGAATGTATCACTTTTGTATTTAATTTTATTAGCTCACTAGATTAGTTAGGTGTGTCTAGTTGTTTGCAATACCGCAATATAAGAATACCTATCGATCGTGTACACTAACTTACCATCAGTTTAAGCATTCCATGCATACTGAATTCAGGATTTTATTAAAGCTTATAAAATAAAAATAATTTATGTGAAAATGATTTATTTCATATAAAACTGATTATCATTCAAGCATATTTCTAAAAGTTGGATTTTTTATCGAAATAGTTTACTAGTTTTCAAGAGTTGATTTTCAGGAATTTAATCGCCAGCTGACATCATTTAGGAGCAGCTGTTTCATCCTAGTTTTGGACTCTTCAACAGTACGCAAGCACTGGGGTTCGAGTCTAGGACCTTCCAGTTACAAGCCAATCTCGTAGACAATTGAGCCATTGGGACCCTATCTGATAGCTCATGAATTCCAACTTCTGCCAATTCGCGATTTATAGCGCGCGGCTATCAGTTGATTTCATGAGCGGGTAACTCTCCAGTTGGCAGACTTGGTGGATGTCGCTGTGACTGCTCTTTTTACCTTCTATATGATTTGATGCAGTACTCGACGACAATAAAATTCAAGTTTTACACAGAGAGAAATGTGCCTAATTTGGTTTAAGGTGCCTAGGTTCGAATCCTGCTTCATCCTTCTGAAACACAGCTTCTCGGGATAGTAGTATCCCCAGCTTTTGTGGCTTATAGTCAGGTGCATATGAAAAATCTATTCCGGTACACATACACACATATGTGCACTCTTTTTCTCAATGTCTTTTACGGTGCTTCACAACTTTGTACACCGATGCCTTGAAATATCGTTGCAATGGTAGGCGAAGTTGAAAAGCGGCAGAAGGCACATTGTCTAACTATTGCCTATTTAGTTTTGCTCCATAAGAGCAGGTGAACTGGTAAATTCACATATGCAAGCGACCAAATGAGGAAGTAATATACAGAAAACGTGATGATAATAACCACTGTTTTGGGGTTTTTGTTTATGTATGTTTGAGCTCTGCATTTTGTTGATTTGACTTTCAATCTCAACTGCTCTACGGCATGAACACGCGTAATTTCAATGCATTTTCATTAGTATTCAATGAGAAATTTCCCTGAACTCTGTTTCCCTACTTAGTTTGCATTGTTGCTTTTCCCCTGTTAATTTGGAAGGTAATTGACTGAGGTTCATGTATGGAGCTATTTGTTTTCCGATATGAGCGTTGCTATGTATGCCTATGACTAGTTCCCATTTGGTTAGCCTTTAGCAATCTCACTTCTACTGTTCTCTTTCGTTTAGAGTGATTGTTTCCTGAACTCTGTATTTTTTTTATTTTGCTTTGAAGGCGTTTCCTTTTTACTGTTGATGTTAAGGATGTTGCATGGTTTTAAAAATACTCAGTCTTTGGTTAGCTTTCACTTCAGTAGAAGCAATATATAATGTTATGTATGTTGGAAAATGTTACGTTCTCTACCCATAATTATGCCTAATTTTTGCTTGACATTAGCAGTCTGCATTTACAGCACGCGCATGGCGCCTTTTATATTTTTCACTGCGATGACTGAACTCTAGTTGATTACTAATGCTTTATACTTTTTGGGTGAATTTACTATTTATTGATGTGGCTTCAAAGCATTATATTCAGCGTCGCTGTGGAGTTTTTAGGTAGCTAAAAGCAGTTGTCAGGAAACCCGGGAACTAGGTTATGTGCTTCTTGGTACTCGTCATCAAGACGTATCTTCATGTCCTCTCTGAGATTCGAACCCGGGTCATCCAATGCTGCAGTCAAAGGCCTTATCGTTGAACTATTCACACTCGCAACTGACCTCCTGTAGGGCTGTAATGGTGATATATCTGACTGCAGCACTGTGTGTCCTGGCTTGAAGATTGCATATAATCCATTCTGACCTGGCTCCAAGGTTTCCTGCCGACTACCTCCAAACATCTAGTGACATGGCGATCCAACTGCCATTGTAGTTATACTGCAAACTTGACTGGTAGAATTCACTGGGCACCAAGACAACTAAAGACTAAATGCATGGCATTGGTTACTACCTAGTGTCCAACAGATGTCGCTATACTCTTTAAAGGTTATTACTGGAGACAGTTAAAACTCTTTTGTCAATGGTCTGTTTTCCGTCTCTTGCATTTCGCATGCTACTGGTATTGTAGTTGTTGTGTCTGATGTTAAGAGTGGTTTCTCTTAGCTCTGTATACTAGGTCGTATTGCTGGCCATATCGTGTTCTCATTAGAAAGCAGACTCATGTTCGTTGCCATAACTCAAGTGATTGAATTTTTTGTTTAACTATTAATCTGTTATATCTTCCTGTTCTTCATATTTATTATTGTCATTGTTTTTTTCACCCCAATGGACTGATTACTGAAAAAATCTCGTCACGGACACAAAAGGCTTGTGTGACATTTGCCAACTTATGTCATCTCTGGAGTAGACATGATACCTGGTCATCGGGTCTAAAGATGGGTGTACTGCTCAGCAGCAGTTCTCTCCATCCTCCTTTGTCTGTGTGAGTGAGACATGACCATCGAAAGTGGAACACATGGAAATGTTAGCTATCTTTAACCATAGATGTTTGCGTCTAGTCTCCTGTGGTAAGTGGTATAATATGGTGAGTAATATTGAGGTCAGGCATAGAGTATTAGGCACGTGGGGTGAGTCAATCAATGAAGTCGTGAAGGTGGATCGACTGAGACGGGCCATAGCCTTCCTTCACAATCAGTGTTTACTGACAGGACCGATGAGGTTAGGAAAGAGTTAAAGGTGATCAAAATAAAACCTGTCATCAGTCTATGAAATCTTTGACACTTAGTTTTATCGACGTAAGAAGATGTAGGCTGTCTGACTGAGGCCCTCAGGATTCCAAGAACCAGTGTTTGGAGACCATTGGTGAAGTGGCGTCTCAAAATCGTTCTCAGGGATGGCGCAGATGCGTCCACTCTTTGGGATCTCTCCTTTCCATCAAACCCTCATGTGTTTCCATGTTATTGTTCTTTCTCCCTCGCATTTCTGCTCATTATGGTTCCTTTAAATGTCTCTCTCTCTCTGTGTTTGTCTACATTTGTGTGTGTGTGTGCTGCATTGAGTGTCGCAACTCCAACTGCTGGTATTTCTGTGCAAAGTTCTCTGTTGAAATTCAGTCAGTCAGTCATTGTTTTGTCAATGCTTTCTTCTCGTGACGTTTGTCTCAGTTAATATTCACCGAATTATTATACCAGATTGTTCTACTCCGTCTCGTAGTTTCATTTGTTTTATCTTTATCTGTATTTTTTACCTTTTTCTCTCTCTTCTTTTTCATACTTTTATCAAAGATTGATTTTGTTGCACATGATGACATTCCTTATGCATCGCCTGACAGTGAAGATGTGTACAAACCACTCAAAGATGCTGGCATGTGAGTTGTTGTTTTTTCTCAAAAAGTTTTCTTGCAATTTACACTCATTGCATAATGTTGTTCTGTGTACTTGCGTTTATTCCCACCCTGACTGGTTAGTAATGTGTTCTTATTGAATTCATTAACTCATTCATTCAATCATGCATATCTATTGTCTACTACTTTACCAAGTTTACTATCTATTCTGTAAATAAGTATTATCATATGTGATTGACAGTGATCAACTTAGTTATGAATGTGTATGGTGGTAAATTTTATACTAGTATAATTATCAGGTATTATATATTATATTGTTCCCTTGGGTTCTGCAAGTGGAACATAAGGCTTCAACAACACATCTCCACTTTCTTCTATTTTCTGCCATCATTTTCATCTGGGTCCACGATTGCCCATAATCTCTCATCTCCTCCTTGCCCCCACGATCTCCTTTAATTCACTCTAGGACGCCCCACTCGTCGCTTCCCATTTGGATTCTATTCGAGTGATGGCCTGCATTGCACGTGATGTCATTCGACGGTCTCTTCAAGGTATGCCTGATCCATCTCCATTTTCTCCTACATATTTGTTGAGCAATCGGCTCTCGCCCATTGGTTTGTTGCCAGTCAGAGTTTCTCGTTGCTTATTCTTTCTGGTGGGATGGCTGGCTATTTGATCTTCAGTATGGAGCCAGCGAAGTTGGCAGCTGTTCACACAAGTCTGAAGTGGCTTGTTGGAAATCCTCTTCGCGACATGCAGTGGAAGTTTCCGACCTGTATAGAAGGACTGACCGACTTCACATTGGTGTTGCAAATGCGAATCTTGTTCCTTATGCTGAGTGCAGAAGATTTCAAAACTGGTTTCAGGTTGATGAAGGCGTATCTTGCCTCTCTGAATCTGGCCTGCTTCAACATCTTCATCCGTTCCACCGGCCTGTAGTTGAAACGATGCTTCCTAGATAAATGAAGGAGACAACCTCTTTCAAATCTCTCCCGTTGGTGGTGATTGGTGCTGGTTGTTATTATTGTTGTTATTGCGATTCGTTCGTTATCTTCATTATCAGGTATTCGTTTGCTGAAATTCGACTGATTTCATATTACATCACCAACTGACATTAGTTAGAGGACCAATAAAAGCTAGGGACTACTGGACAGCTGTTTTTTTTATCCTAATTTGAGACTCTTCATTAGTATGTACCCATGATCCCACTGGGGATTGAACCCATGACCTACAGGTTGCGAAGCGAGCCTGTTGACCATTCAAACACTGGGACGGAATCCAATAGTCAATCAATTCTATCTTGTGACATTGCACGATGCATAGTACAACTGTCAGTTAACGTCATTAGCGAGTATTTGTCCTCACACCTAACTTGGTAGATTCCACTATTCCCGTCTTCTTACTGGAACTTCAGGCAACTTCATCTTGTTGTCGGTGACTAGTTAGAAAACCTGTGAAATCCAGGGAGTACTGGATGGTTGTTTCGTCCTAGTTTGGGATTCGTCATCAGTATTCACTGGTTACCTTGATTGGAACTTGTAGCTCACATTGTAGCTACTGTCATAGGCTTATTTCTATTCATGCTGTCCCTGAATGGAGCTTCTAATGTCAATTTTTGGTTACTAATTTGCGATGAAGCCTGTAAATACATAGCGAAATGACGTGAATGTAAAATACCCCCCTCCATTATAATAAGGGTTTCATAAATGAAGATGTATTTGGACAGTTCATTAGAATCATCGTTCAGTGATGAGATATTAATTTATGTTGAGTTTACTTTCCGCTTCACCTACCAGTAGTTGTCAGCCACTATATCTCAACTGAAATGATGAACTGTGGCGGTGAGTCTCTTTGTGTCGTGGCTACATTGCGAGTATTCTCAGTTGAATTCACTCCACCTCCACGACGTGGTTGATTTCCACGATTATAATCCTTGTTACAGGATTTCATCGTGAGCTGACGTTAGTTAGAGAACCATTGGAAAACCTTGGAGTACTGGACAGCTGTTTCATCCTAGTATGGGACTCTTCAGCAGTACACATATGAGCTCGCCTTGTTACAAATACTCGCCAAAGACATTGGCTAGGGGCCGCAGTATGTCGTGAATTGGCGAAAGTTAGAATTCATGCGCTGGTCATTGGATCGGGTCCCAGTGGCTTAAAGGTATACGGGCTCGCCTTGTAACCAGAAGGTCCTGGGTTTGAACCCCGGTGGTGGGTGCGTACTGCTGAAGAGTCACAAACTAGTGTGACGAAACAGCTGTCCAGTAATCCCAGGTTTTCCAATGGTTCTCTAACAACTGTCAGCTCATGATGAAATCCTGTAACCAATCAATCAAATCCCTACAAACCAACACTTGAATTATCCTTGTTACTTCATCCAGACAGTCTATGGGATTGTATAATGTTTAGATACGCAATTTACATTTCTCTGTCTCTTCAGTTCGCTAAATGAATGTAAAAAACAATTAGCTTTTGGCTAGTTTCATCATTTCACGAAGGGTGTTTCTGTGTGTGAAATTGTTGATCGATTTTTTTGTCTAGTAAACTGTCCATCCCTTAGAATTAGTTTTTTTATTTTTCTTAATATTGATAAATCTCAATTGATTTGTGGCTAATTTAGTGGGATAATTGTTTAAAGGACAGTTGAAGACAAGTTAATTTTCTTCTTGAAGAGGTCATCAACTTGGCTTTATATTCTTGGATGTAAAGTAAAGAGATGAGAAAATTTCAAAACTATTTCGGGTTGAGGGGAAAATTGTAACGAATAAAAAGATTACAAGTAGGGATTAAAAACGCAATAATAACAAAATAAGCTAGAAGTTTGGATAAAATCATAGTCGGATAATAATTGTTGCGACGATTGACTGTTAGTAATGGCTTCGGTAAAGACAAATATTAGACGTACTTCTTTTGAATACATAGTGTTGTCTTGAAATTTTGAATTGCTAGTGCCTTAGTTATGCTCAGATGTCTTGGTCTCATTCCCTTTAAGAGGTTTCATCAAACTTTGTATAGGACCTTGAAGTACTTCTCAAATGCGTCTGAGCGTTCTAAATGTACCAGATGTTCTGTTACCGAGCTTTAGATACAGCCACGTTCTGCCCTTTCTAACCAAGACTGTATAGTGTTCCCGAGCACGTTCTACAGGCGGATTTATAGTACGGCCAATATACTCAACTCTATAGGAGTAATTTAACTGATATATGCATGTAAATATGGCTTAATGCGTCAGCTCGTCTTTCACGTGCTGGCCGATTAGTTTCTTCAAAGGAAATGTTACTCGTTTGCTGGGATTGAAGTATCGTTTTACTGCGTTATTTTGAAAGCCTTTTTTGGAGAATTTCTGCCTACGTATCACTTCTAAATTGGAGATTTAGAACTATGTTCTTTTAGGGTGGCAACCTGAACCTGTTCAACAGCTTTCTCTGGTTTCAGCTTGTTGTTTATGAGTATGATTCTTCGGAGCTCTTCATCAACATATTCCTATGTGTATATTTTCTTGAGGGAGAGAATTGATAAGATTCCTCTTTCTGCTTAGGAGGACAGAATTTCGAAAATTGGTAAACTGTCCGTTCCTTATTAGCTTTCTGTAAATGGAACTTCTAATTGAATATTCCTTGATGTTGTTCATAGTTGAAATAGTTCTCCAACTCTCACTCTCACACACACCTTTTACTATATATCTACACTAATGCATTGGTGGCATAGCGGTTGGGACGCTCGCCTACCATGCACATGGCCCGGGGGTTCGATCCCCGGCCGACGTACTCCTTTACCTCGCTAAGCCAGAAATAATGCTGGTAAAGAGGAAAGGTTGGATATGAGGCTAGCAACCTCATCCTGTAAAATAAACACTGCTACAGAAACTTTAAGCCACTAGCTTGAAGCCCTATATTCCACTGGGGAAAAAATGTACAGTAAATTTAAGTAGAATAAAACAAAACTCAATGTCAACTTTTTAGAAAATTTAAAAAAACTCAGCTTTGCCTTAGCTCGTTGTTAAAATTAACCACCTCTCAAACAGTTGAAGAGAAGGAGACCACTAGTATTTCTGGGCAGGCTTTCTGTGAATATTTGTGAAGACAAATTGCATTGAAAATTAACCGAATGACAAAAATTTGCATCATATCAGCAATTCACAAGTAAATGTCAGTAATGCGGAAGATTTTTTGTCTTAATTATGTTTTGATTATCGGCTTCACCTCTGAATTGTAACTGTCTTCACACGTTATTACTACTACACTGACGCATAAATTATCCAGATTATATAGGCTTTCTGGGAATTTTCGACTCACATTTCAATGGTTAGATTTTCGTCAGGAACCAACATCAGTTAGAGAGATCAATGGTAACCGATAAGCATTGGACAGCTGTTTCGCCCTATTTTAAGACTTATTGGTGGTTATTAGAGAGATGTCCTGAGGCTGTAGTGCGAAGTCATGGCCAGTGGGGGGTCTACCAAAGTGGAGTGAAGTGGGTTCTCGTTGAAGGCACTGCTGTATCACTAGTTGACAGAGTTAACACTCTTATTAGATGGTTAGAGGCGATCGGCAGGAAACCTTGGACCTAGGATTCGTGTCCGTTGGCACTCGTCGACAGGGCGTATCTGCAGTCATGAATTAACTCATGTCCCTTCTGAGGTTCGTACCTGTGTCACTCATTGCTGCAGCCAGAGACACTACCACTGAGCTATTCGGGCTTGCGATTGACCTCCTGTAGGACTGTATTAAATGCTTTTGATTAGACACTAATTAGTGTAATGTGTCCTGTTCTTTGTTTACTGCAGCTTAGTGGTAATATCTCTGACTACAGTACTGGGTGATGCGGGTTCGAATCCCAGAAGTGATATGAGTTCCTTCAAGATTGTAGACACGCCTTGATGATGAGTATAACAAGCACGAAACCTAGTTGGAAGGTTTCCTGTGGCTGATTGCCTCCAACCATCTAATAACAACAATCCTGAATGTACCGTGATGGTGAGCCACTTAGCATGATAACCACATTGCAAACTTGACAGATGGG